CGCCCCTGAGTGAGTTTCCAGCAGGAGGGGGCTGGGGAGGGGGCTGGGGGGGGGACTGGAGAGGGGGCTGGGGAGGGCACTGGGTGGGTGACAGCAATGCCTCATATCACCATCACCAGCTCATAGACGTCCGACTTGTCAGATGTCACTTACACCGAGAGACAGCAGAACAGGAAACAGGGCTGGACCGCAGGGCTCACAGCGCAGCCTTCCCCCCACCCACACACACACACGCTCGCGCGCACTCACACACACACACACACACACACACGCGCTTACATACATGCTCACACACACACTCACACAGTGCTGCCCTTGGACCTGAAACACGTCAAGCCCTGCGGTCCCCGCCTCAGGGGGAATCTCTGTGCCCTCAGAAGAGCCCGGGAGGGAGGCCTCTCGGTGACACGGGACCGGAGCGCCTCTTCCCGAGTCGGACGGAGCGAGCGGGACTCGGGCTGCGGCCCCCGAGGCTGCACACAGCGGACACGGTGACAGACCCCGAGGGTCGGCACTGAGGCCCCCGACACCGAGGTTCCTCCCGGAGACCAGAGAGGGGTCGTTAGGCACAGGGCACACGGCGGCACCGTGGGACGTGAGCGTGTCTCTTCTGTGCAGTTACTCGGGGATCCGTGTGCAAGATCGCGGCAGCCCACGGGGCACAGACCTGGTGAGCACGGCCCAGACCAGGCTCCTCACGGCACCTCAGGCCCCGCCCAGCTGGGGGGAGGAGGGAAACCACAGGGAGCACACGCGAGCGAGCTGCATGCGGCCCACAGAACCACACGGCAGACAGCGCCGCTCGCCCCTAACTTCCTCCTCCTCTGCTTTTTTTATTGATTTCTGAGAGGAAGGGAGAGGGAGCGAGAAACATCAATGATGAGAGAGAACCATGGATCGGCTGCCTCCTGCACGCCCCACATGGGATCAAGCCTGCAAACCAGGCATGTGCCCTTGGCCAGCATCGAACCCGGGACCTTCAGTCTGCAGGCCGATGCTCTATCCACTGAGCCACACTGGCTAGTCGCCCGTAACTTCTTTACCTGGCCGTTCATGTTGGAATAAATACACTTTCAAACTCTACCTGTGCGGGGAGCGACCTGTCTACTGGTTTTCCTCGAGACGGCCACTCCCCACGCAGGCCGGCAGCACAGTGAGCCGACTGTGTGCAGTGCGCTTTCCTAGGTCAGACCTGACCGTCCGTCCTGGTGGCTTGGAGCCCAGCCTCCCCTCGCACAGCAGACGGACCCAGCGACGCTGCCTCCTCCCCAGAAGGGATGCAGGGCCCGCCGCTCCTGCCTCACGTGCGAGGCCCCAGGAAGGCCCAGGCCAGCTCGCGACGAAGCTGAGACGCCTCCATCTTCACCCGTCAAAGCGAAGTCAGAGCAGCCTCAGCCAGCGAGCGCGGAGCAGGTTCCCTGCCCTCCTTCCTTCCACCCCACCCACCAGCCAGTCCCACCCCTTCCTCAGCCCAGAGCCAGGCATGGAGCAGCTCCCTCCCCCTGCCTCTGCCAGCAGGTCCTTCCCCGACTCCCACCCCTGCCCTGGCCACACCCCTCAGACTCCTGCCCAGGCCCTGACCTCAGGCCTGTGTCTGAGCCCTGCACCGCCTCACCTCTCCGCCTCTCCGGGGCCTGCCTGTCTGCCCTCCCGGCCTCCACTCCAGGCCTCTGAGGCTTCCGCCCCATCCCGTCCTGTGCCCTCAGAGCCCCAAGCCCCCCACAGGCGAGAGCAGTCTCCGCTCCTCGGGAGGCAGCACGCCCATTAGGAAATGACCCAGAAGTCAACCACCTCAGGAAACAAACCTGCACCCAACGCAGGAAGGAGAAAGGAAGAAAATCAAGAAGAAAAGCATGTGACCTGTGCTGGACACGAGCTGCAGTGCTCCATTCTGAAGCAGGGCACCGTTTCCAAAGGCAAAAGGCTTTGTGGTGTTTCATACACACACCCACACACCCGCTACACACACACACCCACCTACGCATATACACACACCATCACACCACCACCACACACACCACTGCACAGACACATTCCTACACATACACACCACTACACACCCAACACACACACCATCTACACATATACACACACCACCACACACACACCCACTACACACACACACCTACACATACAACCCACCTATGCATATACACACACCATCACACAACCACCACACACACCACTACACACATTCCTACACATACACACCACTACACACAAACCACTACACACAAAACACACACACCATCTACACATATACACACACCACCACACACACAACCACACACACACCCCAACACACACCCCACCTACACATACACACCCACCTACACATATACACACACCATCACACACACACCACCACACACACACCACCTACGCATATACACACACCACTACACAGACACATCCCTACACACACACCACACACACACACACACACACACACTAATGGGGTAATAGATTGCTTTTAATTTTTTTACAATTTCATCCATCTTTAAATTTCCCTTTAACTCTCGGGTGGAAAGTGTGCACCATGTGCTCCCCGGCTGCTCATAGGACTCCTGCAGGCAGCGCTGCC